GTCCAGAGCCCGTGACAAAGTCCGGGGCCGGTGGCAGCAGCTCAGGGAGGGACCTGGTCACCCAGTGCACGCAGACTGCAGCAGCCCTTCTGTCCTGTGTCACCCCCAGGGCCGCCTGTGTCGTCATAGGATTTACTTTATTTACTTAAAAAGCGKAGCTGTTATGAAGTAGTTACATGTTGCCCGAGGATGCCTACTCACTGAGCAGCACGATGGTGAGAACTGAGAGGCAAATCTTTAATATATGTTGACTGTAAGAGAGCAGATAAATTGGGACGAGTTACGTAAACGTTAAAGATTTAGGATTTTTCCTAAGGATCCACATCTTATATAAAACAGCTGAAGCTGTGCTGGGAAACTTGCCCAATGTATATGCTTGCATTTCACAGAAATGAATTTCTTGCACTGCCCATCTTAAGCTTGCAAAATTATGCAGTTTAAAAATAACATCATGTAAGGTTAAATACTGTTTGCAATTTATTCACACTCCCTTCYTGACCATGAAGATTCATTCTACATTTAGAAACATCCAAACTCATTGCAAATAATAAAGAAGTTTCTTAATTGCCCAGGTTTTGCAGTCAGAGCTTTTACATAAGCAATGTCAAGAGCTGGAGACCATGACTTTGTGACTCTGCTCCCAGCTGCCTTTGGAGCTGGCAGAGTGAATATGCTGCTAAGCAGCATCTGCCAACACTGTTCACCCTGGTAGTTTATCCCTGAAAAAATTGAATTCCTTAGGTTGGTTCCTGGAGTAAGTGGGTATAGTGTAGTCTTGTTTATGTGTACATTGGAATTATTCAGCAGTTTAGACTCATTTTTCTCGATGTAAAGGAGTTTGTTTTTCAGTAATGAAACTATTAGTTTCTTCAGTAGGGTATTTTGCAAGTGATCTCTTTGCTTAGAAAGCTTTCCTGCCGCAAACATGAGATTGCTGATGATTCCATTAGAGCTCGTTAACTTTGTTGTGATTGTGGTAGCAGTCAGTTTTGGTAACAAGGACAAGCACAAATAGTTACTTTCCTTTCTCGCATGTGGTTATGGTGAGCTAGAAAAAGAAACTGGTTCCTGATCTTTACTTAAGAAGTTGCTTATATTTTTACGGAAGATGTATATTTTAATGCAACATGTAAAATAAATATTAAAAAGCTGTAAACACACACTCTAGAGCAAAATTTGCAACTTTATTTTCTGTTGACATGGAGAGACTTTTGGCAGTATAAAGCGGTAGATTATGGAGCTTTTCTTAACAGGAAGTAGAGGAGAGTGGTGGTTAGAAAGCGCTGCTACAGGAAGTCTGACACATGCATCGCCCTGCACGAAGTGGCTCCGAGTTCAGCCCCTTCGGGCTTTTTTCTCTTTTGCTTTCCCAAGTGGTGGAGCAGGCAGATGGCAGCTCCCAAGGAGCTCCCTTGCAGCCAGTGCCCGGGCACGGCCACGGCACTGCAGAGGCTGGAGGGCTTCGCGAACCGCCTCTTCCACAGGCACTCCAAGGGCGCCCACGAGCAGCGGGYGCCTCTGGAAAATGAGGGCCAGCACCTCTCTGAGCTTGCTGTCCTGTGGGACAAGTCAAGTAAGTCGGGCGCCTGCGAGTTTTATGCATGTTTCCTCTTCGGTTTGCCTAGCGAGTGGGGAACTTGTGTGTTTGTAATTGCTGAGCTGTGATAAGTTCCTGCAGTTTTACCGTTTACTACCTGCTGGTGTTAATTTGGAGAGGAGCGTTGCATCGCGCAGGCGAGGAGTGGTGCTGTAGCAGGGGSCTCGGTGCCTGGCAGGAGAATCTAGCCCAGGTCCTGCCTCTTCTATCAAAGCACCACTGACCTGTTTAGACAAGGTTTCCCCTCACCCCCGCTCATTTCTTTTGCTTATAAATTATTTCCTTTGTTTTCAAATTACATCTGCTTCTTCAGCAGAAACAGAAAACTCATTAAAATTGATGCCGTTTAAACTTTGGAGTTTAAGCTGTGAAGACATTGCTGCGCAGATGAGATTTCTAATTATAGGACTCTTCATCATTTGTCACTTAATTTTGAGTGATACTTCAAAATGTGCCATATTGTGGTAAGCAGCATAAAATTGTGCTTGGTTTTAACTATTGCATCTTAATTTAGTATGGGGATGCTGAATATCATTACCTTTAATTTCTTAATTAGCAAACTGTTTAGCATATGTGTGACTTGAAACCTTTCATGGCTACATTTAGGGTAATAGAACGGAGAGGTTTCAAAAATACCACAATGTAGGTAAATAGTCATTTGATCTTTTTTCTTTTTTTAAAACCATATGGCGTTTTACAAGTTAGCTATGGTCTCTGGTTAAATGTTCCATTTAAAATGTTACATTATGATAATTGATGATACTTTTGTGCTGGATTTCACATTCATTGATGGATTGGGAATAGCATAATTATTTCTATTGGATATAGGCCTACTGGAAATATGTGACATCGTGGTGTTACCACGAGGAAAGAAAATGTCTCACTACTTTCAGTTTGAAATATTACACGAGTGGGAACTGGATATGTTCTCGGAGGAGATGCCATAAACATGGAAGCAAAAAGGTGTTAATGCACTGACCTAAAATAGATTAAATCTAGGTCTCCCAGATGAGATGGAAAAGGATAGACTAAGTCTTGTCGGGAGGATAAATGATGAAAGTGCAAGAATTCTGAGCTGCCTCTCTTTCACAGTATTTTCAAGTCAGTAAAAATAGGTATATGCTTGTGCTTGTATAGAAGCCCCTTTTTATATGTGTCAACGACACTGAAACATTTTGGTTTATTTAATATGAAAAATATAAAAAGAAATGATGTTGACCTGCTGACATGTACAAAGTGTGTACATGTCATTTRTGTACAAGTTTCAACTATTTTTTTCCCCCCTATTTAAAGCAAGCTTCCTTGTATGACATGTTAGATGAGGAAATGGAACGCTGTGTCTTTTGGTGATAAACATGGTATTAATGGGTTGTCTTAAATGCTATTTTAAGTCATAACTAAGCACAGTGGTTGCATATATTATTTTTCTGAGCAGAAGTTAGTTTGCTGATAGCTAAATTTTGGTTGGTTATGTAAGTTTAGGGAAGCAAACTCCTCAATCCTGCTCTCAATGCTTTGCTCTTAATTATCTCAGTATTTATTTAAAAAAAAAAAAAAGGGAAAATGTTGTCCAGGTGCATGTGCTCTAGGTCAGAGTTCTCATTTTACTATCAGTTGAGCTCGAGGAGTGATAGAGCAGGCAGGAAGTGCAGGGACCGGTAGCAYTTTTGTCTACTATTGACTCGTAATTATATGTTTAGCAAAACAGAGCATGTGTGAAAATTCTGTCTGCAGAAAGCAAAAATGACATAAACCCAGTTATTGTCTGTCTTAACTGTTAAGTGACATAGAATTGCATTAGCTCATAGAATTAAGGGCATAGAATTCAGGCAGAGTTTTGAAAAAATTCCACTGCTCTTGTAAAGATATCTGAATATAGGCTATTCTGCCTGTATYACAGCAACTTACAGGATGCTCTTGTCAGGCTTTAGGTGAGGTTGACTGGCAGGAGTTGGGTGTGGATTGCTCTGGAATTTGCAGGAGAAGCCTCTTTCACTCCCCAAAGAAGGTTGTGATTTGACTACTTGCATTTTTGTTTGTATTGAATCTTGGAGTGGATTTCATTTGGAAATCAAGTTAAGGTGTGAGCACCTTTAGGCTCTAAGGAAATGTCGCGGTTGGGCCTGTGCCTACGTGGGCCTGTGCCTACGTGCGCCTGCACCGGAGAAGCCGCCGCCGCCGCAGCTTCGCCGCGAAGAGGAAGGAGCTGCCGGGCTTGGGTGGATGTTTCTCGTCTCCTTGCGGGCCGGCCCCCATCTCGTGCTGTGGCTTGGCTGCGCGGGCACGTGCTCCAACGCAGGARGGTTTTTCAGAAGCTGATTTTGAAATTTATCTTGTGTTTTTGCTTCCTTATTTTGATATGTAGAGCAGATTTTCTGATGTGCCTGGCGTTCCTGGTAGCATAGGAAACCGAGTGAATTCATTCTGAAGGATTATTAGAAGCTGACAGGTCAGAAATGGCTCAGGATACCAGAGGCCTTTAATTTATTTTAAAGTAGAGGGAGTGTGTGCAGAATTGAGCAGCTTATCCCGGCATCAGATGGACCCTGCCGTCCAGCCCGGGGCGGAAGGGCACGTGCTGTGCTGGTCACTTGAACTGCATTTCATGCCTAGTGTTGCACGTCCTGCATATGATGAGCTGCGAGTACATGGAGCCTGCACTTTGGGGGTGGTTGTTGGTTRGTTTTTGCTTCATTTTGTTAATTGCTTCTTGTTCTCTGCGAGATTAGAGGGGGGGAAAGGGAAGGAGGGTGAGGCAGCTCATGACAATCGGCATGGATCTCTACACTTCTATTTTTGAACTGGTGCTTATGTTTTCCACATCTCTGGAAATTACAGAAATGCACTAGCAAYTCCGATAACACAAGTGATCAGGAAAACACTTTTGCTTTTATTTATCATTAAGTACTACTCCCCGTCTCAGAATTACAAATGGATGATGAAGTCAGAGGGCTGTTACTTGGTCTCTAGCTGATTGAACATAACATGAAACATACTTTGAAATATTGTGGAAGCGCTCATGGAGATTGAGCTGAATAAATACTGGATAGATGTATGTGTGGAGAAAAATACATCTGAAATAGCAAGCAACGTGCAGAAAKCATTGTGCGACTTGATGAAGGCTTTAGCATAACTACTAGTTGGGTACAAGTCAACAGATAATTCTGGGCTAGGGTTGCCATGGAAACAAGCAGTGCTTGATATAATTGAGAACATCTTAAAAGCTCCTGGTGTTTGCATGCGGTTCCCCTGCCATTTTGAGCCGCTTTAGACAGGAATAGGTAATGATGGTCAGAACAGAACTAGTTAATGAGCAAAGGCAGATATCCGTGTCTTGAATGCTGATTCTGGCTCACTACTGGTGTCTTGGGTTTCAGGGGGYTTGGGGGGGTTGTTGCATTTCTTTTCTTTAATCGCGGTGAGCTCTTAAGGACGAGGAGCTTCTTGGATTCTGTGCCTCCCTGCTTCCCGTTAGGGTGGGTAAGTGTGTGTGGAGATAGAAGCAGGGATTTTGCAGAGATGAGCAGACTTCTTCAACTCTTGGATTAATATTAGGAACAATATGTTTCTGAAAATTAGCTTTTCAACATGAATGGTAAGTCTTTTCTCTTGCCTTTGACAATATTGTTTTGTTTTGAAAAAAATATACCTATTTCCCCCCCTTCTCTGCATAGCTATCAATAACTGCATTTGTCTACTGATCTCTTTGTTTTTGTAATTGACTTAGTATGGCTTTCACTGAAACAATACTTATCTGAAAGATTTTTTTTGTTTGTATTTGGCATTGTTTCCTTTACCTAATGAATATTTAGTATTTTAAAGGCATAAAATCTGAGATTGAAAATTTTATGATGGAATGCTGTGTGTATTAGTTGACTTGAAAAATTTTCTTTGGCACCRTAATAAGTTATTTTTCTGTGAACTGACACAAATCAAACAGGCTTTAACAAATTATTATAATTACCATCTACAAATTCCGAAATGACTTTTATTGTTATTCATCTGGACCAACTTCTTTTTTTGTGGCTTTTGTTCTTCCCAAATGATGGGATAGCAGAATACTTGTGGCTGTTCGTGGAAGCAGGGTTACGAAATCATTTAAAAAGATGTATTTCGGTAGAAGTGGTRAACTTACCAGGCAGGTATTTGCTTTCATCTCTGCCAATGACTACTTCTTATACTTTGAATATTTGAAGTATGGAGTTGTTTATTCTAATTTGGAATATCCTTGAGAAGTTATGTCTAAATATAAACAATATCTGTGATATCCTTTGAAAATCATTTGGCAAAAGCCCAAATCAGTTTTTGAAATGATGTCTGTCTGTTTTGAGCAGGGAGTCTGGACCTTTGTAAAATGACAGAAGAGGATTTGCAGTTGCTTTAGATAAAGAGGAAAAAGGGCATTAATGACTTACGCAGGGTTCTGTGTGTGGGTGCACGTGTCGGGTGGGTGCAGGTGAGATTTTTGCTTTACCCTTCGAATTTCAATGAGCATTTCCACTAACGTTTCATTTCTGTGCACGATGCAAGATAAAGAAGGGGAGAAGTCATCACAACCACCTTATCTAATATCAATTTATAACGTGCTCATCTAATAAAGGTGTTCTGAGGTCATCTTCGCTGCAGCAGAATGTGTTGCTGTCACTTCCTTGGTGTTGCAAAGTGTGGTAATGTACAGATGTCCAAGCTGGCGTAGCTACAGGGTGCATGTGCAGCTGTAGAGGTTAAGCTTAGTGCCGTGACCACCTAAATACACCCAGGCTCGAGCAGCCCTTGGAAGGGCCGTCCCGGTGGCCTTCTCGGGCATCATCAGCACCTTGGTTTGGTGCAGGYGCTCCTCAGGCAGCCGCATGGCCAGTGCTCAGGGAAGGGTCTGGCATCGCGGGGCTCCCGTGTTTTCTGCAGAAAATAAATAAATATTTTTCTTTTGARTCATTTGAAGTGAACAAATTGCTCACACAAGCTAGGCTATGGATTCTCCTTTCTTCTTTTTTAAGGCTTTATTCAACAATTTGTGTGTGTTSATGTTTCTCATCTGGAGCTTGTGACTTGCAGCTCCATTTAAACAAACAAAAATCTGCACCTGGTTCTGATAGATCTTGTGGTGTACTAGTAGCTCCTAGTAACGTTAACTTACTGTTTAGGCTAATGCTTTCAAATTCCAGAGTGGGAAGCACCTGCTAACCTGGAACCTTGTGTCGAGTCCTTGGCAGTCCAGCTGCCGCGTGCGTGTGGGAAAGGGGAGCAGTGTGAGGGAGGAACAGGGTCACACAAACACTGCTGGCTGCTTCTCAACCTTTGGCTCTTCCTGGAGACTAGCTTTTAAGAGCAAGACACAACTAGTAAAAGGCACTAAAGTGCTGAAGAGCATGGCAAGTGATTTACAGAGACATGATAGCAAAACTGAGTGGGGAGTCAAGGTTGTAATTGTGCACTAGATTTTCCTAATGTTTCCTAATAACCGTAAATGTGCCCGAGTCTCAAAGTTGAAGACCTAGTGTCTGCTTAAGTGACTGAAGTTGGGAGATGACCATAGAGAATGGAAAAAGATAACATGTCTCATGACGAGAAAGGAAAAAATAGATTTGCAGTGTTGGAGATAAACGATAAGGTGGACAAGAACTCTGTAAGTGCTGCTTGTCAAYGCTGGTAGGAAGAGTGCTGCTTATTTTCATTTTGATACACTCCGTTGCTATGAACATCTTCAAGAAGATGGAGAAAATGGAAGGATGAAATGGCATGTCCAGGTGCCACCGCAAGGCATCTTCCTATATAGTTCTAGTGGGCCTAATGGCTTCTTCCTCTGCAAAATTCCCCAGTGAAGTTACCAGTTACCTCTGACAGGGATTAAAATGCTTTTTTAGGTGTTAAGCTCAGTGATGTTGTGTTCCGTTTCCTCATCTAAAGTACCTCACAAAAAGAGAGAACAGCATAACACTGCTTTGAGGTACWACCAAAACTCTACTAAAACTGCAGGTACAGAGTGCTCCCCAGGAGGGCAACAGTTTGGGGTGCGAGCTGAGCATGGGTTTGTAGTGACCCACAGGGTAACTGCTAGGGGAAAGGCTCCCTGTGTCCTAACTGCTCATCCCTGCTGACCTGCTGGCAGGGTGCTCTGTTACCTCTCAGAAGTTGTTTCTACCACAAAAAAATGCTTGTTTCTCACTCTTTTTCTTTTTTTTTGATTTAATTTACATGCCAAGTTGCCTATGTAGTTATTAGTTGCTTGGTTCCTTTAAGAATTTAAATCCTTCTCCTACCASTATTGTAGGCCAGTGTTCACAACATGAATTTTTCATCTTTAATTATCAAGGTTCTTCTGGCAGTTTTGTAACCTGAATCACGTTTTTGGTGGTGTTTTTGATCCTCATCTGGCAGATTTGATAGCCCATTAGGAACTTGTGTTTCCTGGGGATTTTTTAGATTTTTTTTCCAGGGTTTGCAACTCGATTCTCATTCCAGTTCAGTGTCTGTCTGTTGCCAAATGGACATTGGCTCTAATATGCCATTTGGTGTCCAAATGAATAGTAAATACTCCTACCTACTTGTGCTTGCCTTAATCCTATGGCAAACCAAAGCTTGTTGTTCACGTGCTGCACTGGATTGTGAAATGTATTTATTTACATAAGGCTTCCTTCTTCAGGAAGTCGCGCTCTGCTATTTAAGGTTTTAAGTGAACTTGTGCTACTYGGCTGGTTACCGTAGGCAGCCCTTTCCTGTAAATAGTGCTGGTKTGTGCGAGGGAGCTGAGCGCTGCGACCTGCCGCCTCTTACATGTATGGGAGGCTGCGCCACGGTTCTGCCAGCGTGGGGCCCGGCAAAGGCCTCCTGCAGGAAGCAGCCCCAGAAACGTGGATACAGTGAAAGCAAGGCCCAAATTTTGCATTAGCTAAATACAATCCAAGCAGGATGTGTGCATGAGAGTTACTCTGATTCTGGGTATGAAGTGTGTGGCGGCCGGTAGGAAAGGCAACATGCAGKGCACACTGGTCTTCCTTAAGTTGCATGCACGTAGTGGGCAGTTTTGGAAGGTGCTTAGTTTGGAATATTGGGGGGGRAAAAAGTTTAATAAGCTTGGAGTACTTCTCAAGAATGGGATATTTGTGCCTGAATATATCTGGCATTGTGAGAGCTTGCGGGGAAATTCTCGTTGACTATGCAGATCAACACCCTACAGAYTTTTGCTTGCAGTTCCCACTAATCTAACCCTAAAACATCCCTCCAGCGAGAGCAGGCCAGTACCATGCTGCACACCTCAGGCACTGAACCTTTCATTAAGAGGCAAGGTGGGGAAGCAGTGTAGGGAGGAGGTTCCCATTAGCCAAGATGTCCTTGTACAGAGGGACAGGTGGACAGGCAGAGGGATGGCCTCGCCGCAGGAATCCCGCAGGAGGTGCCTGAGCCCTTTGCTGCTGTGCGTGACCGGCTGCAGGAGAAAAATCTGACGCTTTCCTATATTTGTACTTGGCTAGTGGGATTTGTTAACAGCCTTTACCCGAGACTGTAGCTATAGTTACAAGGTATCTTGTAGTAGTGCCCTAGAAAATGTTGTTCTTGGAACTCATTCTTAAAATTTATTCCCTTTTTCCCACAGTTACCATGGAAATACATGCACTGCAGAGACAGTGATGCTTGGAATTATAAAAGAAAATGCAAAACTGCAGGGAGGGGATAGTGCAAAGGGCCGCTGGTTCCGCGTGCGTTYGGCACGGGAAGCGCACGGCGCATCCGGCCGGGGCTGCGGGGCCGCCCGGGAGCAGCGGCAGCAGCGGGAGGGGAGGGAGGCTCCGGGCCGGCTGCCCGCCGAGCCCCAGCGTGCAGCCCCTGAGAACTCGCTCCGTTGCCCTCTCTCCACCTGCCCCTTGGTGTCCCCTGTGCAGGGAACGTGTGTAAGCAGTCGTGCTAAACTTGTTTTATTCAACTTAGTAATTTTAGCTGTTTGGAGATGAGCATGAGCAACATTGGGATGATGGCGCCGCGGCCAAGAGGAGCCCATGCGCCCGTCCCTGCCCTCTCCCWCACCCTAGCGCCCATGTGATGCAATGAGCGACGAATCAATTGGGATTAAGACTGGTTTTCTTTTTCCTCCCTTGCCTCCCTGCATTCGTTTTTAATCTGGCTCCATTCCCTGACCTGGTCTGGCACCCAGCCACAGAGGCGCTTTTGCTCCTTCAAGGAAGGTCACGATACGGAGGCAGGAACAGATGCCTGGGGGAGGACAGGTTGCTTTTTTGGGGAGCAGTTACTAGCACATATTGAGGAATCAAATTGCTGCTTCATGGACTTTTAAGCCTCAAAGCACCTTGGCTGTTGCAAGAAAGAGCAGATTTAATAATTCGTAGTGCTGGCTGTCTGGAATAATTCCCTTCAGAGCACACTTCAAGGACAAGAGGAAGGTACAGGAGAGACCCCTTTCCTTAAGCCAAAGCTTAGTTTAGCATATTCCGGGACTAACCGGATGCCAGTCGTAAATGGTGGCATTGGAGAAATGGGAAGAAAAATCTAGTGTAACCACACAGAGAAGGGGTGCCATGTCCTCCAGTCGGGAAGGGAGGTGCAGGGGGGAAAGACGTGTCACCATGCTCCTGCTGTGTG